TCTCTCTCTCTCTCTCTCTCTCTCTCTCTCTCTCTCTCTCTCTCTCTCTCTCTCTCTCTCTCTCTCTCTCTCTCTCTCTCTCTCTCTCTCTCTCTCTCTCTCTCTCTCTCTCTCTCTCTCTCTCTCTCTCTCTCTCTCTCTCTCTCTCTCTCTCTCTCTCTCTCTCTCTCTCTCTCTCTCTCTCTCTCTCTCTCTCTCTCTGTGTATCTCTTCCCCTATGCGTTTGCATTTTTTTCATCAAAACGTTTTGGGACGGACGAGTGTAGTTTCGTCGATGCATTTTAAATTTTGCCGCACGATGAAAATTCAACGCCGTCAACGGTATAAACAATAACTGACCGAAAGATTGTCTTTATTTCGTTCGTTCCTTTGTTATTGGAAGCTGGATACTCAAACGCGTTGTTCAAAAAATTAACTCGTTACGGGATAAAAAAAAAAAAAAACGAAACGGTGAACATATAACACACGAGATATTTTATTAAATTAAGGAATTAAGAAAAAATTTTTTAAGAAGGACAGGAAAGATTAGGGGAAAAGAAGGAAGGAAGGAAGGAAGGAAAAAATAATTTAAATTGAATTTCTTTTTCATAATCAAAACGTTGGAGAATAGAAACGAAATGAATAGATAACAATAAATAAAGAAACGTTTCTAAGTAATCCTAATTCGTTCAGTTTCGTTTCAAATTTTTTTTTGAAACGTCGAGGTAACAATATACGAAGAGAAAAGTGAACGAACTCCCCTCTTCGAAGGTCTTCGAGACTGATGAACATACCTGTAATGCGTCCCTGACTCCGGTAATTGGGCCAATGCCTTTGCGAATCGATGACCCGTCGAATTATTCTTATTTATTTACGATTGGCCATATATTGGTCATTAAAAAATCCAAACGATCGATCTTTATGATTCGATTCGTCTAATTTAAATCTTGGTCCAAATAAATACACGTCAACACGAATAAATTTAATTTTCTATTCAAATTTTGCGAATATTATAAAAATTATAAAAAAAAAAATTTGGCGAATGAGTAGTTAAAAAATAAATAATTAAAAAAAAACATTAATATATGAAGTATCGTTTCAATCTGGAAAGAAAAGATCGAAACTTCCCCAAATATATCCGAATTCACGAGCATTATCCAGGAGAAAAGTTAGGCATAGTTAGGGAGACGTATAGTAGCGGAGCAGGGACGAAATTTCTCGATCCCTTCGCAGCAAAACCTTTGCTTGATGAGAAGCTTTAGCTGTAGGGGACCCCTTTAGATATTCATGAAAATGGAGTTTCCTCTCGCGCACCGACGAGATACAACCGTGAAAATTCAGACGACAGGTTGCTGCCCCTCCATTCTCGCAAAATTACCACAATGAATCTATCTATTCTTAAAATTTTCCCACCGAATCGTATATCTATAGCAAAAAATAAATTATTCGGGATGTAGAAATTAATTACGTTCGAAGAAACGTAGAGAGTAGATGAATCAATAAAATGTACGTTATAAGAAGAAGAGCACGAGTTGTTGTTTAGACGAATCAAGATCGCGACGTATGTTCCAAAATGATAGGCTTCGACATGTGTAAATGTGAAGTAAACCCGAAATTTTGTTCCAGAATCAAATTTTCTTGCGGATCGTTCAACCATTATCGTTGTATTCCACATTTAAAAACAACGAGCGTCATAGATAGATATCGTTTTACAATAACCGTAACTCATTCTACGTAGTCATATATATATATATTACGCGAGAATAAATACGAAATAAATGGGCGCAATCATCACGATACGTTGAAATTGCATGTTAAAAGTTTAAAGCACTGACAATTTGTCGACAACGATTTGCAGCGTTGGTTGCAAAAATACGCGTCTAATAGAACGGCCAGGTGAGGCTGGCATTGCCAAACACGATATTGCTCCCGCAAACATTTATGTGCTGTGAAACAGGTGCGAGTCGTGCTTCTCGTGGCACAACGATACGTGCCAGTCGATGTGCCATACCTGTATGCCGGATAATAGACAAGTGCTTTGAAAATATTACTAGTGAAACAACATTCGAAACGAATTCTAAATAAACGACCGCCTTGTTCAAATTTATTCTTTGATTGTTCTCGTATTGATAATTTTGTTAATCCGATTTGATCTGACAAGAAACTAGAACGAAAAATATTCACATTTTAAAAATTTTTGTTAAAAATATTTAATTTACATCTATACCATCTGTCGGAATCGGTAATTTTTGGTTTTAAATTATATCGATAATAGTTTTAAATTTTTATTAAAACAAAGATTTAAAGTTTTTGAAAATAATAGATAAAAGTATTGTATGTATATTAAATAAAGTTCGTACTGTGTGTTTTCCTAGGCCGACGTAACTGCGAATCTCAATTTTCCGGAACAAATTTAAAAGTCAATTAACCGGACTATCCCATACGATGTGTTCAAAGCGCACCCGGAATATTTGTAACTAGTTTCCTGGTGCAATACGCGATTAATTTCTGCAGATAAACGTAATAAACCTTTGAATTTCGATCTCATTTCGCTTAATAATTGCAGATATTTCGTTTTGTCGATATTTATTTATCCAAACGTTTCTTTTTTTAAATAACTATATCTTATAATACTAATTATTTCGTTCTTAAACTGAACGATATAATTTTCGAACAGATTACATTAAATCGTGTCGTATAAATACGCTCACGCTCCCTCCTTTCACTTTTCTTTCCTTTCAACTTTCTTCGACTATATTAATTATGTATATCGTGTCTAATGTCTATACGTTTAAACTTATACATGCACTTGCAGGAATATCGTTCAAAGCATATTATATATATATAAGTTAGAATATGAGAATTGGACAGTTTATATATATCGAGTTGGTTACCTGGTATATTTGTCGATGTAACACGAAATTCACGTCTGCGCCGTTACTTTTCCTCGGTGGGTATTAAGAAATCACAATGAAACCCGTGAACGCGATGCCAGACGTTCATGCGGCCAGTAAAAGGGACAAGAAAGTCGAGAGGCCGGTCCGGAAAGCAGCTGTTCGATAAAAAGGATGTTCAAATTCTATAGGACGAAATATCACATGGCTTGCGCCCTATACGATCGTATTTAATCATATTTTTTCATAACCTTAGTTTTTGAAACAATTTTATCACTTGAAATAAAGTTTCTTATTTGTCACGAGACACAACTACACGTATAATGACAAAAATTACAATGATATAATTACATTGCGTTTGTCGAATGGCTGACAATTACAAGATGTTCGTTATCAACATGTCGACCGATAAAATATGACTATAATATTAACGATCACTACGCCATTCTACCATGAGCTACGAATAAAGGTTATGCGAGGATGGAAGTGGTATACGATAAAAACTACGACTAACGAAACTGATCATCAAATATTCTTGTATAGATTCGACTCGGATGGTAAAGTGGTGATGCGATCAAATGATCATAAAAACATGTGAAACCAGGCGCAAGAAAACAAACGTCGGTAACGTGTGGGTCACGACATGTCACAGGTCAAGCTTTATCCTTCACAAATTACTCAGTCGGTTCATTCTTGAACAGTGTCCTCTGTTATTCAAGATTCCAATATACGATACATGATCCCTTAAGAGATAAATTCAAAAATTATTATTTACTTTAATATAATATATCGTTTGGAAATTTAATCATTTTCTATTATGTTGATACGATACGATTATTAATGTAAAACAATAAAACAATCTATAATATTATGTGTTACGTGACACTAATACAAACACGTATATCAAAGAGCGTTTTAGAAATCAAACTTGACCTAGAAATAACTGTTCGCGACAAAAATAATTAGGAAGAAGTAAACATCACCGAAAAATCAATAGTCATCGATCTAATGTTATGTCTTGCGTTTTTTAAATTCGATTAATTTTGAACGTCATTCGATCCGATAATAATATATGCAATGTATATGTATACTCAAGTATACGCGCTCTAGTGTTAACGAAATATCTATCTCAATACAGGTTTTTACCAGGTGTACATCGATTTAGCATTGATGGTATATTTATATGTATATAAACGCAAAGAACAGAGAGACGAGAAGAAAAATTGCGAAGGTCGTGCGCTCACCCTCGAGCAGGTGCCAGTCCTCGTCGAGAGAAGCCAGGGCCTGTGCCTGATTCGCCTGTTGTTCGAAGTCGAGCATCCTAGCCCTCTGTTCCAGCTCCTGTTTTGCCTCCGTTCTAGCTCTTAAATTTTTGCAGTCCCTTCGTTAACACCAACAAAATATCCTGTATCACTTCACTTCCCACGGCAACTAATTGCGTTACCAAGGTTTGAAATATGTCTATTGAATTATACCGTTCGGTCACGGAAGCAACAACAATAATATTGTCCGTATTATCGAAAACGTCGAGACCACACGGAATACTCTGTCGAGCGACAATAGAAAACTGGTATATCAAAGACTTTCCCCTCGAAGAAACGCTCACTCAGATTATCTCGAACGTCCTTTGGTCATGAGACTAAGAGCAATAGAGATGGATAGAGAAACAGGAGATTGGAAGTGGGAGGAAAAAAATTGGAAAGAGACTCGACGAAAGAAAAGGATAGATGAAAAGAGTAGCGCAAAAAAAAAATAAGATAGTGTTCCTTAGTCGTGAATATCTCGCAAATTATGAACTCTATTTAAAACTCTACTTTCTGTTTACATTGATGTTTCTGATTGGCTTGGTGTCGGTGATCTCCTGTTTTCGTTTAGAGGAAGAAACGACGCGCAAGCGTCTCTCAATCCTCGCGCTTTCGAAAGATCTAATAATATGGATAACAAGCCAGGAGTCTTTGAAATTCCGGAAAACACGCTATTGTATTTATTTCACGGAAATCTATATAGAGAAACGAAGAAAAGAATAGAAAGGACGATTATAGTGCGTTGTAAGCGGGTAGTGAGAGAGAAAAGCTCACTGAAGAGACGAGCACACCCACTCACGTGCATACGTGGCGGTACTCGAACCGCGACTGATTTCCCCTATCACTCCGTCCTCGCTGCTGCCACCCACTAGTCGGCCCCCACCACCCATCGGCTGAACCCCATCTCCCCACTCTTCGGCTCCCTCTCGCCCCACGTTCTCGAACCAAGCTTGCTCGTTCCAAGCAACGGTAGAACGTCTGTCCCTCCCACTCTTCCTCTCACCGACCCGTGCCAACTATCCGCACCCCTTTCTCTCTATTTCTGCTTTCTCCATCCTTATCTCGCTTTGCCGCACTTTGTACGCTCCCTCTTTCGCTCTTTTTTCCTCTGAATACATATATGGAGTGCGGTAAAGATCGTAATATAAATTCTGGAACGAAGTGATTCTAGTAGAAAAGATGAGTTGGAGAAAAACGTATTCTTCTACGCAATTATTTAATTTCGAAAAAAATGATTACTGACATGATTTAATTTCGAGAAAAATACTATTCGTATTTCATCAAAGTTAGGTTAGTTAAATTATATTAATAAGTAAATCGGTTTATATTATATTAATCAATAATAAATCGACTTTTTTCTCTCATTAGATCTAAAATTAAATCTAAAACATTGGAAATAAAATAAATATATATTAACCAGAAACTGTAATAACGCGTCTGCTTCGGATTAACAATAATGCACAGGTTAGTGCAATACAACGAAAGACTACTTCAAGCTTAAATCTTTAAGTGTATAGATCTGATCGGTAAACGTGTATAAACGTTTCTTTGTCTCTTCTTTCTTTCTCATACTTTGTAGTCTTAGACCGTTAATGCAGAAGAGAAGTCCACAAGGCACTTGTGAATCCTTCTTTACTCTCTATTTCAGTTCCTCCCTTGGCCCCTAACTTCTTCCTGTTTTATTTCAACGTTTGTCTCGCTCTCTGCTTATATCTTCTCCCACTCTATTAGCAAGTCCGATCTTTTATCTCACTTCAACGTTACGATTCTTGCACTTCGTCTTTCATGAAGGTTCCATCGCCACTCTCTGGGTAGCCCGGGTTACCGGTAACTGGCCGATAAACGCAGTTATACGTTTTCAGATTTTAACCCGCTATTTTTTAGTATGGTTTTTAGAAAATGAGATATAAATACTTAAGCAGTTGATACTGTTTTCCATTGATTTTAGATGCAGTTATCAATTTGCAGCATTGAATTTATGTATTGTTTAAATTTTTTTTTAAAGCGAATATTTATCAATGTGAATATTTAGCGAATATTAATGTAGTGAATATTTATAATGATATTGATAACATATACTTGATAATGTTCGTGGAAACGTATTCAGATCTAAAAATCACGATACAAAAATTTGGCTATCAATAATCGTGCAATATTTTCAATAAAAATATTTTAGTTGAATTACAATGTTTTGCGGTGAATCAACACGAATAACCTGTAGACTTATGAACGATATGAAATCTCATTATGAATACCTCGTGAATCGCTTTATGCCACAGTAGAGTGTAAAAGCAATTTCAATTGGATACAATGAGCAATTTAAACTAACATTAAAATGTTAAAATCATTTCATATAAATTATAACATATAAGTAAACTCTAGAAAAGTTCCTATAAAGTTATAATGATATTTGTAATAACTTTAAAAAAATTCCCATAAAGTTATAATAAAAATATAAAAATTTATATAAAATTTATATAAAAATTATATTTGTTAAATTCAGAATCATGGCATATTTCTATTCGTTCTTTTTTATTAATCATTTAAGGGTTAAGGTCGCGCGCGAGCTATGGCTCCCGGAACGCGTGTCGCGTGTTCTCTAGCATACGGCCCTGATGGCTCGCGCGCCTCGTCATTTGTCCTCGCCTCCCTCACCGACCGTCCCCTCAAGCAGGATACCATCCACCGCTCACCAAGCCACTCGATTACTATCCCTACTCCTTTTGCGTCAACCACCTCTCTCTCTTTCACCGCCTAGCACGTCGCGTGGCACTCTCTCCCTTCCACTCTCACTTCCCTCTTCACTACTCGTACTCGTGCTATATCTTTATCTCTTTCCCTTTATAAAGCGATTCGTGCATCCTTTTTCTGCATATTATTCCATTATGTTTCTTTCTCTTTTAGCCGAAAGAGTCGTTGCTCTATTTTTCCGCTCTGCATTGTTTTCTCTAATTCTATTTGTAATTATTTCTGTTTTTTTCCAATTGCTTTATCATTAATTTTTTATCATAATTTTTTACACGGATATAAAATTGATTTCATTGTAATCGTTATAACATTCGATTCATAGAAATATGACTTTAAAAATTGTTTATATTGAAAATTAATAAAAAAAAATATATATATATAAATATTTATATTAAAAAATAATATGAATAATTATATTTAAATCATATTTTAAATCACTTGTTACTATTCTCAAATGTTTTTATCATTATAATTATTATCATTATATAGCGAATTAAATATAAACTGCATATATACGTGAGAATGATAATTTTTTTCATTTCTAGCTGACGTGCATCGCGTTTGTTGCATATGTACCAGAACAGTCGGCGGACCAGTCTCTATCTTTTTCTGTTTCATTCCCATGTCCGACCTCGAGAGGAATCGGCGTAAGGTTTCTTTCTCTTCGTCACACGTGCCATAATACATTCGTGTTCTTTGTTCACCAATCGTTTCTCCTCGTTGTTCTGGCTACGCGTTTCTTTTCGCTCTGGCGTTTTGTTCTCCGTCGCAGATGCTCGCCAGTGCCGACAACCTCCCCCATCCCAGTCTCCGCGCGAGGATAATCGAGTCAAGCTGATGAACACTGAGTTTCGCTTGTTTACCGAAATCATTTCTTTATCGCTGACCCTGATTACTAATTTTTATCGCATTTTTAAAAGTTAAAAATGAATTTTGAAAGTTCTTTATTAATAAAATAATCGTTTTGTTTATTGCGAATATAGAAGAAAAATATAATCTTTGTTCGTAACTTATTTTCAATAATCCAATGAAATTGTAGTTTTGATATTGTGTATAGTTTTGATATATTACTTTGAGTCACGGATAGTTTCGAGTTTCTCGTGAACAGCAAACCGTATCATTTAGCGTCACCGTTCTACCAGTGAAAATGCATTAACTGGTAGTAGCTGCCAACATTGCGGCAAAGTGAAACCCCTCGTCACGGTATAGCTACCTTAAAGCGAGCTAAGTTGAAATAGTACAATTGCTGGCCCTGAATACATATATATGTATAGTTCGAATACATGCAAAAATTTAGCTATAGTTCTTTTTTATTTTATCGTTTATTTTTTTATGGATCAACTTTTTGAATCTCATAATCATATTATTATTAAACAAAATGTTGTTTATTTTCTCTTGCTTTTTTTGTAGAACATTGTACTTACGTAGAAAAAAATAACAAATGAAGAATAAGTTATACGATCGTACGTATAATTATTATTGCGCAATCGGTAATATTCTTTGTATAACTCTACTTTATCCGACGAGCATATATGAATTTGTGTATCGAGCTTAGCCTTCTATTCGTGTTCAGTTTATACGTATGCTATTCTTAATATGTATTCATGTATGCTTTGAATTCCACAATTATGTCGTATTTAGTCCGGTTTCATGTCACTTCATTAAGAACATCGTGTCAAGAATAAAAGAGCTTTGAATGGAAAAAGAATAAAAATTATTTGATCGAATTTCATTTTGTGTGATTTAAATATACAAATAGTTGTTGAAAGATGAACAATAAATAGATTTGTCACGTTTTGCGTTATGACAAACAAAGAAATATCTATTATATTAAGTGAAAAATTATATTTCTGAGAATTAAATGGACATGAGAATTCTATTTTTTTTTTAATTTTGTTTATTTAATTTATAAATAATTATGTATAATGTTTCAAACTAATGAAATCACATTACATGAACGATTAAAATTCAGTGTTAAGTTATTGAGTGATTGCTAATTGTGAAAACTCATTTTATTTCTTTAATTTTTTTAATTTTTATGAAATAAACAAAATTAACCGTTAAGTATTTTAAAACGTTTAAATTCAATCCCACGACTAACGGTGAAAACGATTTCATGCGATTTCATGAAATTCACTCGAAAACGAATATTTTTTTAACATTTTTACCTGTTGCTATTTTTGTACTTTCATCCCCGACCTATCGCAAGGACTTCATCCGTGAAGCTGTATATACGCTATCCCGTCCATCGTCGAACTTTAAAATCCTCGTAGGCGTTCTCACGTTGGTGTATGCTCAGGGCACAGTTTCCATGGCGATCAGCCACGGTGACCATGATTTCGATCTGACGTCATTATTGTAAAGGACAACCACGTGTTGCAAACGTGCTATCGGTTAACGAGTTTTCCTGTAACGATTTTTCACCGTTACGTCATGGGAAAAATACAGTTGCGTAGGTTACACAAATGACGTTATTTAAATGAAAAAATTGCTTCATATAATTTTTTAATAACAATTGTGCAACACAAAAAAATGGAATATAATTAATGAGAAATATATGAATATTAATATAAATAAGAATGATATGAATTTGGTAAGAATAAATAAAAAATAAGTAGATATCTAAATAATAGCGTTAATTTTGTTAAATTATATATTATAAATAGATTTAAAAAAAATAATGCACAGTGACTTGAAATAACGTAAAATGCAAATTAAAATCAAAGTATTTATAATTTTTAATTTCATTGTTTCACTTGGAAAAATATACATTTTGAGGAAATTATTTTTGAGGAAATATTGATATTCTCTACGTCAATAAGTCATTCTAAGAGAAAGTTTGAAGGTTGACGACTCGACGAACGAATATTGCGTTGTGACATTATTATGTCGCAATAGATGACGACATTTTGACCGTCTTGAAAAGAAACAATTTTAAATATTTCGTCGCAAATTTTTTGACTGAATGGTTTTTTAAAGATTTATATATTTTTTAAAGATTTATTCGGTGCAATTTCAATCGTGTCGATAACGTATCGACGAGATAAGATAATTTTCGATATTTATGGATATTCACGTAATTGCATCATGTGAAAAAATCGAAAAATAAAATCGATAAAAAAAATTTTTTACAATAAAATAAAATAAAATCATTTTGTTTGACTATCACGATTCTTTTCACTGTAAATATTTGAAAACAAAATACGAAATTTATTCTTGAGGTTAATACGATGAACATTTTCCTTTGTTATCGCTCCGAATGTCACTCAGTCGTACGTGATTCATTGAGATGACGTTTAATATTTACCGAGAGAAGAATATTTAATGATCTGAAAAGTATCGTAGTCAGAATTCCTTGTGTTACAAGCGTGGACTCGGAAGTAGGCCATGAACGTAGATCGAATTTGAAGTGGCTATGGTGAAACGGGGTTATACGATAATATTTTTTTATGAAACTGTTGAAATGTTAGTATTTTTAAAAATTGTCATTGAATTTTTTTCATCTTTCATAAACATTATGGAAAAAAAATTAATTTTGTTTTATAATAAAATAATATATTAAATGAATGTAAAAATTAATACTATAGAATTAGTTTAAATTAAAGTATAATAATATTATTATTAATGAATATAAAATAATTTTATATTTAAAAGATTATAGTTTATATAACTTAATATTGTCATTACATTTATGTAATGTAATTATGTAGTTACATACATATATGCATGCGAATTTTTTATAAAAATTTAATTTATATAATATTAAAAATGGTAAAAAATTTAGGAAATGGTGACATCTAGCGGATGTGAACAACTATTAAGAAGAATATGATAGTCGCATCGATCACAAAGCTATCCAACTTATCTTTAAAACAATGTTCGTTATAAATTAGTTACTTTATAATTATATAAAATTGTTAGTTATATAATTGATCCAAAATATTATAAATATCTTTATTAATTAAAATTATCTTATTTTTCAAAATGTTTTTTCGATTTCGTCTGTAGAGGGTGATACTAGTTCTTATAAGTAGAAAGGAAAAACTAATATGGCGTAATCCATTAATCTGTTGACCGGGTAACTTGTTGTGTTTTTTTATAAAAAAATTCAAAAAATTAAAAGTTTTGATTATTAAATTTTAAATAATTATAGGCAAGAAATGATGCCTTTTAGAAGTTTTATTGTTAGAAGTTTTTCAACAACTTCTAATAAAATTGCTAACCTCGTTAAGGTACATATATGTATATTTTGATGATAACTTTTCTTTTTAAATAAATGAAATTCATTATAACTTTATCATTTATTTATCTTTTATTCGTATATTATCTTTGTAATTTATCTGTGTTAAATTATACAATATAAATATTCATAGAAATGGTATATCGAAAGTGCTGTTATCAGAAACACATATGATGTTGGTGATTCCACAAAGTGTTGAATGATTATAAATGAATGTCAACTATGATTTACAGAAAAACAAAGTTGTTGTGTTCATGAAAGGTGTTCCAGACAGCCCTAAATGTGGCTTTAGCAATGCTGTTGTACAGATATTGAGAATGCATAATGTTAAGTATGATGCTCATAACGTTCTTGAAGATGAACAACTTAGACAAGGTTAATAATCTTTTAAGTGCAAGTTATTGCATTTTCTTAGAACTAAATTTTGAATATAATTTGATTAAATTTCTCTAATAAATGACTATTTATATATTTTTGTTTAGGTATTAAGGATTTTTCCAACTGGCCCACAATACCTCAAGTATTTATAAATGGAGAATTCGTAGGTGGATGTGATATACTTTTAGAAATGCACAGAAATGGTGAGCTGATAGCTGAATTAAAGAAAGCAGGTATAACAAGTGCACTTTTAGAAGAAGATGAATCTCCAGAGAAGAAAACCAAAGATTGAGAATGATTGATAATTTAGTGTGTTTATGTAATTTGTAAATAAAATATCGTTTATTCAAGGATAATTATTAAATTTTGTTATAATAAAAATTTTGTTGATTTATATACATTCATATTTATAAATTTATTTATTTCAAGAAAATATGGCAGAAGTTATGTCAAAAGATTATTTATTAATAATTTAAGATTATCAATTTCAGATTATGATATCTCGATGAACGTTGTTATAAAAGTTTCTATTGGTTCTTACATACTTTCTTCGTATCGAAAGAAACAGCAATATACATATCTAGGAGTGAAAAGTGGATCAAGGTTACTTGTATATCGCAACGCGGGAGCTTCCGTTTTGCGTGCATGTGCATGCGTGACTATTTATTCTTCCGCATTGCGTTTCGTATTAATGTATGTAAAATCTAATAAATTTTTAATACAAAAGTTTTTTACAAAATTTTTATCAAAAGGAAAAACATTATTATTTCAATATCTTGTGTGTCCTAAATTCTTTTTATATATAATTTTTCTTTATATATGATCTAATTACAATTTTCATCGTCAAATTTTTCATCGTCTATATTCCAACAAAAACACAAGATATTACAAGTTTATTATAATTTTCGTAGCATTCTAAATATATATAACTGCTTTACTTTTAATCTTTACTATTTAATCTTTTTCTTTTCAATATATCAACTAAGATAAAATACTATAATAAAATACTAGACAAATCAATGTTTTCGTGTATCGATGTTAAACGATAATAAATCAATCGTAAACTTTTTCGTTAACTTTGCTGATGTTGCGTAGTAAAGCGTATATAAAAGTACATTTGGCCATCGGCCAATCGAATCTTCGAGAGTATTTTATCCATACATAAGTGGCAAAAAATTGCGTAATTAATTTTATTCAACTGTTTTTTTTTTTTTACTTCGCTTTTTTTTTAATTCATTCGATTCTTGCAAACTACGAGTCAAACACGAGTTAAATTGTTGATAAAGAGGGGATATAAATACAAATTAATGCTTTTTTTTCCGGTTACCTCGTAATACCTCGGATTATGGATCAGAATGGTGCTGTTTCATAAAATTTTTACGAGAAAGAAAATATGGGATTAAACGAAATATCTTGGCTGGCTGATTTCATTGTTACGTATTCTTGAATATTTTTACGATATAGAGGAATAATACTGGTATCTTTCTTCGAGTTATGATTCAATATAGAGGAGACTTCTTGGAGACGACATGTATTATTAGAACTATTTATACAATTATGACTGTATTAAATCACATCCGTGAGCTACGACATTGCACAAAGAACGTACATAATTTGTTCTGATGGTAAAAAGGAGAATTGAAAAAAAAAAAAATTGAAAGAAAGTGGGCAAAGTAGAAGAAAAAAAGAAAGGAACGAGGGAAGTTAAAAAACGATAGGATGATACAACATAGTTAACGAGCATGAGACTCTCTGCTTCTTGACGACAACGAAAGAAGCATTGATATTCGTGGCACGATCGTATGCCGTATTATTTTGCTTTTTTCAGGCAATGAGGGCTCGCCGAGCGAGTCTTCGCACGACTCGTCATTTGGTATGCCATTAATTAATTTAGTGCCTCGAGAGCCAGCCAGACGTGGTTCGCAATTAGTGTCTTAGAGAATCAAAGAGTGTACATATGCGCTTGTGTAAATATTCTATAGGCGAACGTGAATCAGGAGCTATCACCCTTTTTCATATAATATCATCAAATCATCTCATCTCATTCTGAAAGATATCGAAATGTAAATTCATTTAGAAATAGAATTCTCGAAATTTGATTTTAGGAATTATTTCTCGTTAGTATACATCGAATGTGATTATCTTATAGCAAGTTGTTGTTATTCATGAAAAATTATTTTCGAGAGCAATTGACGAGAATTTTACTTTCAAACAGACACGTATATATTGTTCGAATATATTGTTATGCTTTAATTTACCTTTTACTTTTTATTTTAATTCTAAATTTTAAATGTAATGATAAATGTTGATCATTATTGCGATAGAGCAAGTGTATATTTCGCAAGTATCAGAATGAGTCAGGAGAAAAATAAGGCGATCAGTAAAGTGGCGCCCTCTTTTCAACAACTTCGATCGAATTTCTATCCCTCTCTCTTTATTCTTTTTTTCATCTTTTTTCCACTTTTCACTTTTTTTTTCAGAAACATATTCATTATATTCACCATTTTTCGTAATTTTTATTTCTATAAAAAGTATTCTTTAATTGATCATAATATATTATAATTTCCGATTCAAAAAGAAAAAATATTTGTATCATAGTTAATACAAAAGTTATACTTCATCTTCCCATTTCGTTTTAATATATTTTAATATTTTATAGAGAAGCAACACAGATAGTCAGGATTCGAAGAATTAAGCATTTCTTCTTCTAACTCACGTTCTAACATCTTTCTTTGTGTGACAAATATTTTCTTCGTTAATTATTCATCATTTTAATGAAAGAAAATAAAAAGAAAAAAAATTTTAATTAAAAAAGTTCTCGCGCTTTTAAGATGGAATACGGAAGAAAACTTCATTAATGCAATACGTTTGGAGGAAGTAGCACTCAGAGTCAAGCAACTATGTGGTTGTACATTGTTTAAGTAATTATAAGATCGTTGGTTGAAGCGGTAAACAGCTCGGCCGGAAATTCACGGATAACAAGAAACGCCTCTGGCTCTAGCTTGTCTCCTTTCCGCTCGCGAATTCTTGCCGCACGTACACGCACGTACATGCATTGTATCTCCATTAACCCAATAAGCTCAATGAGTCCAAATTTATTCAGAAATAATGGAAATTCTCACTCGAATCTATTCTCTATTCTGTAACAGAATAACTTATTTTAAGCGTTTAATAATTTTGAAATTGATTTTGGATAAAAATATCATAATATTATGATTTACGATATTCAATCGCGTATTATTTCGTATTGTTTTCATTCGTTGTTTGTTTGATGGAAGTAAATGTTCTTCGCGACGTAGAATAGAAATGTGGGTCAACGGTGATCCACGTGGCACGAAACGTGATACGACGACAATTTTCTTCGTCACGTATCCTTAACGTATTTTTTCAATCCTTTCCGTATGAAATGTTTTTTATTGAATTCTGAGAATTCGTTTAATTTTCCTTTGATAAAATTTTAACATTTACAACATTGTGATTAAAAATTTGTTTTAAATCATCAATGTTCCTCTTTCTATATTCTAATATAATGAAATCCTCCGTAATGAAATAATATTTAATTCTCTTTTCGTGACGCTATCTATCGAAACTGAAGAAAAATCCTGTTTGTTAAAGCTATTCTGATCAGATGTTTTTATTTTTCGAAGAACAATAATGTGCGAAAACGCAATATTATTTTGCAAATTAAATTTTCTTTCTCGTGCAATTTTTACTTCAATTACAAAATATTCCCCGAACCAATTGACAACAAGATTTCGATAAAGAAGAAAGAAAATTTCGTCGTTTCTAACCTCGCGAAGAGAGGGAGATCTGAAGGAATCGCGAGTCGAAATCATGTAAGAGCGCGAGCGCCGCGCCACGGGGATTAGAAGGATACCGGAGTGATGGGAGAAACTACGGTGTGGAGGGGATAGCGGTATCGGGGTTGGGGTAGTCAGCGCCTCCACAAAGGGTGAGTCTCAGTTGCCATTCGGACAGCCTACCATACGGCTGGGTTTCGAAAACCTTATGCGCGCGAATATATGTGCTGATCAGCGCGCGCGCGAGTCTCATACGTCGCATACGTACGCACGATTAGACAAGGACGATCAGGCATGTGTCTAGACTAGAACGACGTTTGCTACTTTGAAAAGGATCAAGGAATGGAAACGAGGAGCAAAAAGTAAAATTTGGAAAATTACAAGAACCCGAGAACAAGAATCAATCCTCGATGGAAGATTCGCCTCGACATCGCTCGTCTCGTTAATCGCGATTCTCTCTGTTCGAAGTTGGCGAAACGTGTCCGGGACGCGTTGCCCGAACGCGTACCGCAACCGGTCAGCGCGTGTGCACCCGACCACGATCGATCCTCGGGGCGATACGATCCAGAAACGCGATGGACGGAACCACCCTGCTTAGCCATCGCAGATAACGAAGATCGGCCACGTTTCATAGGATATTAAATCTTTATCGGTAACGATTCAGAATACGCAATATCATATCCATATCCATTTAATACGTAAAATATCGGTGATGTCTCTATTCTTGGAATGATCATCATTGCGGTCGCGTGGTGCGCCATCGAACTCTGCTTTTCTCCTTTCTTTTCTCTTTCTTCCCTTTGTTTTTAACGCTCGAGATTCGTGATCTGATTTTCTTGATTTCTCCGTTTCTATATCTCTCTTATACTCTTTAACACTCGATATCAGTTATTTTGGATTATTGTGATAATAACAGAGAATTCGAGGATATATATGGCTGGTTATGGAAAAATATTTTGACACGCATATGTCAAATTCTACGAGTGGACCGGCCCAGTACGTTCGGCTCGATTAATGAACAGAGAGACGTGGATTGTGCCAAACGACAAAACGACGATGTGGAAACTTGGGGGACAAGGTCAGGGAAGATGTGGTGTGCTAGAATCGCAATCGATATGCGTAAGAATCACAGAGCATCCCTTTCGATCGGATACTTCGATTCGAACGAAGTAAAATTGAAACAGAGAAGTGGAAGTAGAGCGTGGATCAATCGGTGGGTTAATCTCGAGAGACGAGCGTGTTAAAAAGCGTACGTTGGATAGGTCAGGGCAACCTAACAAAAATTATCGTGACAATTTTTCCCAGTGATTCTTATACAGTTTGTCTTTTCCTTGTAGATTTTTTTTTTTTTTACTTTCTCAATCACGATTCATCATTTTATCATGGGATAATTTTTTTGAAAGAGCACGCCTGATCTCTTACTGCAATTCTGCATCAGTCAGAAGGGAAAATATTTGGGTCATCGGAGGGAATTTAGGGAAGCCCGAAATTCTTGTCAATTTCAAGAATTCCTTTTCCATACCAAGTCTTCGATGTCATTTCAAAGATTTTCAAAATATCGTTCCAAGCTTAGAATTTTCAAAATATTTTTTCTATCCTTATATCAAAGAACATATTTCCAGCGGAGTATCTTCCTATTCTATTTGTTTACCCAAATTTATCAGAACTCTTTGACATACATCAATTTCCATTATTCCATTTTTCCATTGTTAAACACTCGATCGATTTACGAGCAAATTATAGCCATAGAACAACGCTTACGCTATATACTCCTGTGTGGATAGAGTCAACGTGGTCTGCACGAACGATTGATCACGATACGAAACAGATCCTTTTCTCTTCATCGAAAATTCACGCACGCCTGAAAATTAATTAATTCTGATTTTAAAAAAAAATCTTTTTTCCAACAATAAGCGGTTAAACGATTGAAAATCACGTTATTTAATTCATTCTTGACGTCGATCCTCCTCGATTCGACTTCGACAACGTTTACGATGATTATCGGCCGTGTCGTGGATTTTCATTCTTTTTGGTGACGGTGGTTCTGGATTTCTGCCAAATTCACCTCGATCGTCGGAGTCGGTGCATTCTCAATATCCATGGATTCTTTTTTTCATCCACAATAGACGAAATATATCACCTATCGTGTCAATCCTTTTTTAGAGTAGAAACACTCGACGTCGTTTCATATTCTTCCTCGTTTAATCGTATCAGTGTGAGACAAGATGCGACGAGACCGTTCATCCAATTGTGAACGCAAGTGACGAGTGTCGAGGATCGATTGTGTTGTACCTGAAACGAGTTTTTCATTTAGACCGAGATAATGCAAACTATCTGTCTTTCTTATAATATCACATGATCACATACATCATTGGATTAAGTATTGATAATCCAGAAAAAGAGAGAGAGAAAATATATATATATATATGGATTAAATATAACAAAAATAAAGAAAGGAGATCGCATTGCGTCACCGAATTTATCGGTACTGTTTCTCCCTTGCTTGCCGATTGGGTTATGAATTCGCCTGGCCTCTCGTGGGAAATCGAAAATTGTATACTGTGTATACACCTCGTGGCCCGAATTTCGTATAACACCGATCTGTTGCACCTTCTCTACCTTTTGCACCTTTACTTTCCTTACCTTTCTCTTTCATCCTCGACAATCCTCTTCCCTCCTCCGCAATTCTTCGTTCTTCGCGATATTAGTTCTTGTCTAAAAAAAAAAAAAAAAGAAAAAATGCAACGAAACAACAAAGGCACCGGTATATTAAACGTATCGTATCACTCACTTTTGACTCTCTCGTTTCGTCACGTTCACGAGCTGGAGGAATAAAAATATGGGTGGAAATCGTTTCGAGAAGTTCTCCTAAACGAGTAGAACGTTTCCATTGCACTCGATCGAGTATAAATCTGAAGTAATAAACGGAATCGAACAAGCGAGGGGAATATTCTTCCGCGGCGTCCCAGATGCCGGCCGTTGCACAGACGATCCGGCGTCGGTCGATTTTATAATTTATGTGCCGCGAGATCCCCGAAATGGCTTTACGATGGCGGTGCCCCCGTGGCACGAATCGACGGGAAACGACGTTTGCGGATCGCGAAACAGGGACGTTTGCGCGCGCGCTCACCAATGACGTCATTCCACGTTACGAATTTAAGGGGCCGCGAACTTTTCGTACGCGAGACGTCCTCTCGCGATGTACGAGCGATACGGGGACGGAATTTGGGAAAACGGGGACTTTTCGAGTGTACACGTGCACTTAATTAATCCTTTTTCGAGGAACGTTCGTCAGCCAGCGTGATTCAGTCGTGTTTCTCACCGAGGTCGAAATGTCACTGTACGAAAGATTGTAAGAACGTAAACTGAAATAGTTTTAATATTTTTATTTTAAAATAAAATTTAATTGGGATATACTTATATATATATATATCAATTCTTAGTTTTCATTAATCACCTGTAACCACTTGAATCCTGAATCAGTTATGCTCTCAGTGCCTCTACTTCTACTTCTTTGTCCGTTTCAACCGTTCCAAAACTTTCCAAAGTCGATCTTAAGCATTCCGAATGTAAGCCTCTAATTGATGGTTGACCAACTTCAAGTCGGTTCTGTATTATCGGTGGAGATTCGTAACAACGCCTCCTACGTTACCATAAACGGTATAATTTTAGATTTGAAAATAGTATAAAGAGTGGTGATCGCTAAGATCATACTTTTCCCTCTTTTCTGTTTCCATTGTTCTTATATTTCAAATTCTGTGATTCCAATGTACATTCTATATTTGTATTTCAATTCTTATTCCAATCTTATTTAAATTTCTTTTAAAATTCGCCTGCATTAGTGAATATATGTATAAATATATGTATTTACATCAGTAAATATATGTATAATATAATTACATTCTAGGAACTCTTGTTACTTGATTGGTTAATATAAAGTGCAAAGAGTGCAAAGAGTTAAAATCTTACTTTTCTTGAACAAGTCAAATATAGATGACGTAGTAAATTTCTTTTAAAATTCTGCTTTCAACTCGTATATCGCCACATATTTGCTATCCCGCATTTTATTATACATATACTTAGATTAGTAAATGTATGTATAAATACAATATAATTACATATAATTACATTTTAGGGATTCTTAAGTATAAATATGAGTACAAATACGAGTTAAAATCTTACTTTTCTTCTTATAAGAAGATGTCACGTGGTGAAGAACATGTTAAATTTCTTTTAAAAGCTTTGTACTCGTATGTCGCCATATACTCGTTATCCTACATTTTATTATTATACATATACTTATATTAGTAAATATATGTATAATAGAATTACATAAATAATTACATTCTAGGGACTTTTAATAAATACGAGTACAAAGAGTTAAAATCTTACTTTTCTTCTCACCCAAATGTGGATGACGAACGTGTTAAACCGAATCGACGATAACTTGTCCAAAGGATCTATTCTATATTCTCAACGCATAATTCTCGTGTAATTAAAATTTCTGATAAAAAATCGACCCGATCGAATATGTTAATTTCATTATCCTTTCGAACGTATCTTAACTCGTTAACATCGCTCTTGTTCACGCTGGTTTCTCGAGCTATTTATCAATCTGTCAATCTCGTTTGCCCTTTGCCTTCTCGCAGGTGCAAGGTAAGGCCGGAAACGCAGTCGAGGAAGGTCAATCGATCGCGACGCCTTCGAAGACCCTGTCGGCCATCCCTGGCCAAAAGTTTCGAAAACGCTTCTCCAACACCGCACGCGTGTGATCCAACGTTGGTCGAAGTCGGATTCAGATCTCCATTCTCTCGAGCTTTCATTATCGTGGAATCGCCATCTCCCGGATAAGCGAAGATGATTTCTTCGAGCAAAATGAACGTTATTTTTCAGAGTGCTTCCCCCGAAGGGCTACTTCATCGCTCTTTTAATTGCTCCTCGCGTTATACTCGTAGGGCGTGAATTCAATTAAGTTGAACAGCCTCTTTTTCCAAGGTAAATTGTAAAGTGGTGGACGAGGCAGGGCGATGGGTCGGCCAGAAAGTGATCCTGTGCGATTAAGAAATTGAGAGATTAGTAAAAAATTTTTAAAACAGTATATATATATATATACACACACACACATATATATAAGAATAGTATCCTTTGAAGCAATTACACATTTGTTCTCTCTATCCTTATCGACTAAAATCGTAGCGATAAAAGCATAGTTTTGGATCGATCGATCATTCCGAGTGGGCAAAGGAGGGCGACCGTGGTGCCAAAAACTCCCCTTGCGAAAAACGATGGGCCACCTTGAGACACGACTCCGGTTTTCTCTGGTGAGGCAAAGCCCGCTCGAAATCCGGGTGACCTCTTTCCCGCCACGGTCTTTGCCCTTTTCCTTCGCCTTTCTTCTCATCGAGCAGCGCTCTGGCACTCCTCCCAGCGACAAGCTGATCCCCCGGAAGTGTCGACGACAGAGGAGGGGAACACCGATCGGAAAATGGGAAACCGTTGTCTCAACTTCACTCTGACGGTTTGCTCCCGAAATATATCTCTGCTCTCTCTGTAAATTATACCGATTATTATTCCAAGGAAAGTTTCGAGGGGAGAAATTTTGAATGATTTTTTTTTTACCTCTGTATATTCGCTGCTGATTTAAAATTCTTTCTCATTTCGTCACTTTGGATAATTTGGATTTCACAATCGGTCGAGATTCGTGTCGCGAACAGTCGGATTCTATCTGGAGATGCAATGGAAAAAAAATTAAGAAAAGGATTGGGAGATCGAACGTTGGAGAAATAAATTTATGGAGAAGGATTAACGTTCCTTCGAAATCCATATATCGTAGGAGAAAAAAAAAAATCGTATAATTTCACCAATTCTCTGGACGGTTCTTATTCTTATCTCGGGTTACTTGCGGGCTGATCGTACGAGTTGCTCCTGCGATATCATCCATTCTCTTTACTTCGATGCTTTCTTTGCCCGCGGACAAAACCCATAGGGACGGCTACCTAATTCTTGAAAAACGTGTAGAATAGTTGCTTTTAGACGGTCGAGCCACCTTAGAGACGCTTTGTCTTCTCCTTTATTGCTTCTTTGCTTTTCGTCATTCGATGGAGAATAGAGACATTCTGCGCCGTGTTCTCAGTTTACTTGTTTAACGGTGGATTAGCTTAACTTCGACTCGAGTACTGGAAGAAAGAAGATTTTTTAATGTTAAATGTCGCTTATTTTTAAAATCGATATTAATAATAACGAATAATATTAATTTAAGAGTGAGAAATTATTTTTGGAAACGAAAGGGATAGAAAGAAAAATGTACGAAAAGATATTAATAGGAACAATTTTCGAGACGAGTCCTATCGATATCCCCAATGACAGCAGGATTGAAAGAACAAAGGATATCGAGCAAAGATCTAACATGGCGACAGCTACGCGAAAAGAGGAAAAGTAATCTTTCCCTCGAGTGGTCCGAGCGAGAGCCTGTTCGAATTTCATTCCCTGAGATACGATTGAAAAATCCTTCCTTCGAATTTGCTAAGTTGCAGTCGATATATCTTGCAATTGTTCGTGAAGCATTAAAGGAACGTTCGTTTTCGAGAAAAATCACTTGCTTCTGCATCAGCTTTTCTATTTTCAATCTTTCATTGTATTGACAGAAATAGAAACACTTTGAAACACTCGTTTCAATAACAAGTAGCAAGATCACTTGGTGTTTGTCAAGTTGATGTATAATATCGTTAAAAATTCAAGATAATAATGATATAATAATAATGATTAATTAGCTTTAATATAATAATACTAAAAGAAAAGAATGAAAGTACGTTAAATGTAATTGCACTGTAATTTAATTATATACATTTCTTTTAACATTACACAATTTTTTTTAATAAACTTTCTACTGTGTATTATACTCTTTCTGTGTATTAAGGTTAGATCAAACTTACTAGAATCGAACGATGGTCAGCAATGGTCAGTAAATTATCGATAGTTGATCGATAATTCAGACAGTCGATGGCGCCACTGTCTGTCAAGTATTACTAATTATGGCGGGCAGGACGAGAGTAGTGCTGCGCAAATGTGTTTACGTGTGAAAACGAAGGAAAGCAACTGCCATGAAACAATTCGACGTAATTTACGAAGATTGCATCACTGCTAGAATTCGATAATTCGAAAGTATCGTAGCAGTTTTCAACGATTCAACTGATTCAACACTTTAACCTGAAAATGGTGGGCCGCAAACTCTCGATATTTCGACGAAGTACGATCGATTCGAGAGCGTGCACTCGAAAGACGTTTTAGCTTCGAGAATGATCGGTGAATAAACGTTACATCGTTAAAAGACTGATTTTTTGTTTTTTCAATCGAAAATATATATTTTTCTTGCATTTTGTTACCAAATGTTGCGAATTATCATAGAAAAGAAATAGGTTAAGAATTCGAGATTTTTTTTAACGAAACCGTCATATCGAATAGGCTGTCGATACATAGGCTATGTAAAGTTAATTCGTTATTTGAAACATTCTACAGTTTTTCTTCCGTAGGCCATTTTGTTACACGCCATTTCCTTCGTGTTGGATTTTATTATCGAATAAAAAAAAGAAATAGAGAAACAGAACCTTCTTATTACGTTCGTTTCGAGTGTGACAAGCATTAAAACGGTTCACGATGGTGCAATATCTGGACAGAATTTTATCGTCGATCGAATACTTCCGACCCAATTATTCTCCTCTTTCTGAATGCTCGAGAAACAACCACGGGGATACATTTTTACATTGCTTTTTCCCACAGATTTTATACAAATTCATAGTACAACACGATATATCCGTTCAATAAGAAAAATTCTTTAATCTTTTAATTCAAACAACGATATTCCAACATTCTTCTCATATTTTTTTTAAAAAACAAAATAATAACATCGTTTATTGTATCTTTCATTTCCAGATTGATCGCCCGAGAAAACTCACGCTTCCCACGTCGTATTAATTTTTCCAATTTCAATCGTCGGGATCATCCTCGAAAACTCGACACGCCACATACCCGGAGATCGACGATACAAGATCGAAGAGGATCGTGTCGATCGTGAAATCGGGCGATGAAGATGTGATCGACGATTCTTGCCCGACTACGTTCCCCTATTTAAGGGATGTCCTCCTCCGCGGGCACCAGCTGCACCGACGCCGAGGAGGACGCCGAGGATGTGGAGAACGAGGTGGCAGGTAGCGCGCAGTCGTCTAATTACTTGCCGTCGGGTATCCGTGATAGCGCGCGCGATCACCTGGAAGGACTGCGGTTAGATGGGTCATCGATCGCGCGTCCACCAGCCGAGGACACTTCCGCGAGCCCATCGTTGTCGTGGTCGGTGCCTCGATAAATCCGGATCACCGCCCCCCTCCACCCCCTCTCACGTATTCCCTTCTTCACGGCCGCCGCCCGTCGTTTATTCTTCTTCGCCCACGACGAAGATCCAAGACGGCCCGACACCAGCCTCCCCTTCATCGCTGGCCACATCCACGAGGGACGCGGAGCTGGTGCACGCGACAAGCTGGAGGAGGTGTGCGAACGCTGGTCGTTGGATCAACGGAGGACCGTTCGTGTTCAGGTGACGATAGAGACGTCTAGGTTGCAACCAGGCGGATCCTGAAATCGTCCGAGATTCGTTCCTGGATAATTCGCGTTTTTCCCCCATTCATTCTTATTTCTTCTTACTTGTACTTTTCTCTTCTTACTTTTTCTTTCCTCCCCCCCCCCGCCTCTCTCTCCCTCCCTCTTCTCATTTTTCTTTCCGCCGGAATCCAATCCGATTCGAGTATTCTGTATACGTGCATGTGTGTGTATATATATATATAGAGGAAGAGAGAAGGAGAGAGAGAAAACACTGGACATTGCGCGAGAGAATCGTAAAAGCTTTTCTTCTGTCCGTGCGATCGTGATTCCAGCCGTGGAGAAGATCGAAAGACTGTAAAGTTCACGGGTTTGAAGATCGCACGTGCGAACTAACTCGGCAAGGATTAACGCGAATGTGCGCGGGACAATTGGTTGACGTTTTGATAATACCACAGTGTGTTTGGTAAAGGATACGGCAGATCGCCGCAGCGGTTGTTCTCGTTTGGACCAGTTCCAGCGCGGATGTGAGACCGCCGACAAGTGATATTACGGCCGATACCACAATGGTGAACTATCCTCGGATCATGACATTCAGTTAGTGATCGTGTGCATTCCCCGCGTTGTTGTTGTTGCGCGTGTGCATTTGTGCAGCGTAGCAGTAAGATAAAAGAAGAAGAAAGATAGAAGGAGAGATAGAGGGGGAGAAGGGAGTGATCGATGAAAGAAGGTTGTCGTTGTTGGGCATGAGGCGAGGGAAACAGCACGTGTTCGTCGTAGCCAGAGGCTGGACGAGATCCTGATAGCCGCAGCGACCAGGATCCGGGATCATTCAAGGAAGAAAGGATGCCAGGGGGGCGCAGGGGCCTGGTCGCCCCGCAAAACACATTCCTCGAGAACATCATACGACGGAGCAGCAGTCAACGTGAGTAACGTGCTACACGAGACTTTTGCTTGGTTTCTTTTTCCGATCGATCGATCATTCCACCGAATAACCGAGTCTTTTTCTTTTTCTTCGTCGATTCGCTGCGCGCACGGATAGATGAACCGGTGGGAAACCGGGGAGTGGGGTTGGGGGAGGGAGGTGGCGAGGCGAGAAGAGGAGGAAATGGAGACGAATCGATTCCACGAGGTTTTGCATAAGAATTTATGGGATTTTCTCCGAGTGCGTGCTCCTTCGTTCGCTTTTCTTCTTTCTCCCTCCCCTCCTCCCTCTCCGTGTTTCTCCTCGTTGCGGAAATAGGTCAAGCTAATAACTTTACGTAACTGCGGCAAGTGTGGAGAGATAAAAGTTACCTCCGTATAACGAGATTACTCGCGATGACCATGGTAGATTCCGCTTCGTTACACGGTTTAACCCTTTTGAATACACGCGGGGGCCGGCGAAAAGTGAACATACTGTAAGCCTGTGTAAAATGATTACTTACATCTTGTCTATTGACTTTTGCATCCTTATTTATACAATTGATGAAACAACGATTATTCGATGTTTATTCGATGATGATACGACGGAATCGAGCAGCCACGTGCGGCGAGCGCGATGAATTTCGAACAAACGATAACAAGCAACAACATCGCTTACACTTGGAAGCTTCAAATTATTGCACGATGATATTCTATTTAATTCCAAACGCGACAAGAATAAATATAATTGTAATTATATCTCGTTAATGAGAAGAGTGAAATGGATAATAAATAAGGAGAAACAATTTTTTTGCAAATTATTCGCAAATATCGTTAACGGAACGTTGTTGTATCGTCGTCGCTCACTTTTCTATCTATCGTCCAGGGATATTTAATTAATATAATTGGATGAGAAGCGTGTATTTTACGATATCTGTTTCTGTGCCTTTTATCGCGTTTGTTTGGATTCACGGTACACGTGTGAAGTAACCGAGCGTTAATTGGCCTTCCTTCAAACTTAAGGTCCGGTGCACACGACCGACTTTTTTTACCATTATATATTTTTCCTCATTTCTCGAGTTGAAAATGTGATGCGTATACTGTTACCGTGTTCGTAGAAAGATAAAGCTAGGTAAAGCGTGCACTCTCACGCTCTATTCCCCCTCTCCTGCCATCACGTGTCGTTATTATTGGCTGAGGAAAGTGACAAAGATCGACGATGGACATATCGAGACAGAGTGAGATAGAATAATTTCTATTTCACTTTGTCTGTGATAATGATGTATCCGTCGTAAATATTTGTCTTCACCTAATAACCGTAATAACCGTGAAGGTATGAAATGATTTGAAAAATTAATTAATTAATTAAGTTTCGATTAAATTTAATTTAAATAATAATTTTATTTAAAACGCTCGAATAATATTTATTCGTATCTGTTTATAGTCTTTTGTATAATCTCAATGGCGCGTTTCTTTGCTTCTTTCCAACAGCGAACAAATACAATCGAAAAATCATTGTGCGTCGAGTCTAAGCGAAAAACTTAATGGAATAGTATAAAAAGATTCTAGATCTATAATAGACATCGAACGTATCTTTCATATTTTTAACGAAATGATCGACGTGCAATTTCATATATTTCTATATGAAAAAGTATTTTCTTCGAAGGATCGAGGGTTTCCTCGACGGCGAGGAAAAAATTGTCGGACCACGGTTCATCGGCGGTGGTCAAAGGTCACCGAGGATGAATAAGCCGTTGCAAAAGGGTTAAACCAAGTGTAAATGCCCACGGCATTGACCCATTAACCGATAGCATATCTCAGATTCTCAAGATCCATGGATATGGACACGTTTGCGTTCTGGAACTTGAATTAATTATACCTGAATTATAGCAACACGTATATGTAATCAGGGAACGCGTCTTGATGAAATAATCACGTGGTTTCACATAAATGAACACGAATTCAGGCAATATAGAAATCGTTCAAATTTCGTTATTCGTCGATTGGCTGGATCAGATTCGACGCAGCGTCTACTTTATTTCAGACTTAACTACTCGTTGGAAGCTAGCCGGCCAAGCCGGTTGCCTACGTACAGGCGTTTCTAGCATCAATTTACAATAAATTGCAACCGATATTTTTATAAACTAATTTTCACGTTAATTTCAATCAATTTCGATAGAATTGACTTTTAATCAGAATTTTTTACTTTCAAATTGTTTGGAACCTCCTTCGTCAAATCAAAAAAGTTAAATCGGTTAAACTGGTTGCCTACGTACAGGCTCTAGCCTCAACTTGCAATAAACTGCGATCGATATTTTTTTTTTTAAACTTTTACTTTTAATTTCGATACGTTAGAATCGATTTTTTAAAGCTGTCGCGAAAACTTTGAATTATATCTGAAAATAAGAACATCTTTCCAGAATCTTTCAAATCGATTCGAAACGTTCCCATTTTTGCATCGACTCGTTGGAATTCTATCTACCTGAAATATAGAATACCCGTTAAATTTTCGTATAATTAATTTCTCTGGAGGCGTTTTCGCATATGAAGCCGGAAATGATTCGATCACCACCATTTTTAAAAGCTTAGATTCTCGAGATTTTTAGTATCGTTTCTCGATATTTCCTCGCAATCGGTGACAAACGGTCCGACTACCTTGGGGAACAGACAAGGATAGAAAATATTGGATGGCTGTAAGGCCGGCCACCTACCTCCAGAGGCTCGTATCAAAGAGCGTTCCATTTCGATGCGACTTTGGGTTACGGAAATGGTATCTCTGAGAAATTTTTGCCAGCTGGCCACCGCCATGAAACGCGAACTTTCGGTATTTCGTTATCTTTATTAGATCAATACACCACGTCGTTCCTCCAAATAAAAGTTTAAAAGCCACGTCTAGTTTTCTTAATCCAATAGAATCCTTCGACCTTCCAATCTTCTTCCAAATTTGTCTCGCTTCCCTCTTCCACGATTTCTATTTTCATCAATACCATCCTCTTGGACGATAATTCTCGATAAAATATCAAATTTATAAATTCTCTTTATATCCGTATAAATTCAAATCCAATGCGAAAAAACTTTCGAAATCTTGTCACCTCTGATCGATTGCGATTCAATTTGGAAAATTTCCCTTAATGACACCTTTCATTGTATCCACGAATTTTTCTCGAACATCTCGATTCAACGCGTCTGGAAAGACAGAAGGGTTTCTCGAATATTCCTCAGAGCTGCGAGCATAATAATCCTATAGACTTTCGACCTACTCCTCCCGCAGCTTCTTCACTCCTGGGACTGGGTTGGAACTCGAGATCATGTTGTCAACGCAGAGAAGGAGGATTCGATCTGTTCAACACGTTCAATTTTCGATTGTTCTACGAGGTGTTGATATATATTCGAGATGGAAAATGAGGCATTATTATATATTTATGCATCTAAAATTTAAATGACACGATGATGACTTTTTTAATGTTGAAAATAATGATGAAATAAATTTAAGTAATTTTAATTGAATTACGTATGGTTTAAAATGATTATAAACGTAACAATGGAATAATAATGATGCAGGGAGAACGAGTCGAGAAGAAATTCCATTATTTTTTTTTTTTCCATATATAATTCAAAGCCTTAAAAATATTTTTAAAAGCAGATTTGAAAAATGGATCGCGAGAAATGTTTTAACAATTTATTATTTATAATAAATTTCTTCTCGATAATATTTTTCAACGTTATGAAAAATATAAAAAGACACGTATAAAATCAATGCTTTTAAAATTAAGATTAATTTTAGTCTTAAAAAATTCTCCGTAAAAATCCATTATCTACGATACGCTTACGATCTCTCTCTCTCTCTCTCTCTCTTCAGCATTACGAAAACACGAATCTATGCTTTCAAAGGTAAATATTTTGAAAAAAAATCCTCTCAATCTCGAGTGAAAATTTAAATTTTCTCATAAAAAAATATCCATCGAATAATCCGTTTACGATGAATAAAACAACACGGACAAATATTTTTCACGGACAAATATATTATAGAAAGAAGAAAAGATATCGGAGGTATCGGTGTACTTTGTCTCGCGCAAGAGCGTAAACCACTTTCCCTCTCGTTCGCACTTCTGGTCCTTATACACAGGTTGTTACGTCCTCAGTTCAAACGTGACGAGAATGAATTAACTAGCGACGAAGAGAGAGAGAGAGAGAGAGAGAGAGTTCGTCAAGAGTCACAACAGTCACGTAGCCTGCTCTCGCGGTGTTTTTCGTCCTCGTGGAAAAACGGTTCTGCGACTCTCATAAGGGAAGGAAGGGGCAGGTGTGCTGTGTTGTCGACTTCTTCAGGCAATTGGCCATTAACCTTTCAACAATGTCGCTAAACGGACGAGAAACGGTTGAGAAGAGGGCACTAAGAAAGAAACCGAGTTATATATCAACTCTTCGTTTGTTTCTTCCGTTTTTTTCTCTCTCTTCTTTTCCCCCTTCTTTTCCGTTTCCTAATTTCTCCTTCTTACTTTTTTCTTGGAACAAATGATTTTATAATTATACCGCTTAAATAAGGAAATACACATTTAATTTATAATCAAAATGTTTAGATTGTTTTCATTATTATACCACCAAATATAGAAACTAGTAAATAAAAATAATTGACTCGCGATTCAAATATGATTTCTTTCTTCGTTCAAAGTTTCTTTGAATCATTAGATTTAATAAAAAAAAAAGAAAGAATTGTGGGGTGGGTTATAATCCGCATCGAAGGAGAATCAGGGTTACTGAACGAGTCGAGACCAATTAATTGCCCGGATATTTCATCGAAGAACGATCCGGTTCGATCGTTGAAAGGAAATTTCCCGTACGACGTTAATTTTCAACGAGGATTAAACACGATTGAGGTTCCAAGACCTTCTTTTCTTTCTCGAAATCTTTCTATCTTTTCCATTCTTCTCTTTTTCATAACTACTAATATCTTATGTATAATATCGTAATCATTTTATCAATTTTCTAAATGTTTGAATTCAACTAACAAAGGTGTTTGAT